AAGACGACACGCAAAAATTCGGGCGCTTTTGAACAAAAAAATCATTTTTCACCCGAAAAAGTCACTTACGTCAGTCTTGCACCAAGCCATTCAATTGTATATTTTTACCGATACTATTAACACTAAATTATGCAGCTACGTAATAAAATATCGATAGGTCTGTTAACTTGTATACAGTCAAAGGTCTACAGTTCACAGTTCACTACTAACAAAACTTAGCAACATCACTGGCTAGTCTCACAATTCACTTTTATTCATGAAAATTCACATTCACTTAACTGGTAGTAGTAGTTAATCTAGATATTTCAACATAGGATAACTGAACATTTCCTTGCGCTTTGACTAATTTTCACAATAAGTAACATAATTTATCTTTAATACAGAAACAAGAACAAAAATTGAAAACTTTAAACAAACTTGAAAGCTTCCTCTTCATTGGCTCCGTCACTGGCGGCACTTGCAGAGAGGCGAACTTTTACTCCTACTATTACATCTCTGTTTTGGTTTATGCACTCAATGCATAACTTAGAATTTACTTGGTTTAGTGAGTCACATTCTCCTCCTTTTACTGTGAAAAACAAACAAAATAAACACTGTAGTAAACATTGAAATAAACTGTTAAATACAGAAATACAACAGAACAATTGTTTGCAATTTGGTAATTTTGAAAATAAAATAAAAACAAATTTGTTGTGTCAGATGTAGCAATTTCTTTTTTCAATTTCTAAAAGCATACATGTTGCATTAATGTCACTATTCCGCTATTCAAACTAAGTGTAGAATGTAACGCAACCAGGTAAAAGGTAACCAGACCAAATTTGCAAACAACAATACGGTGTAATTGAGGGGGACACAGCAGCCCTGTGGCAGGCTTGACACGACTTCATGATAGGTGCAAAAACTAAAAGCCTCACTTATTCCCCCACTAATGTGGGAATAAGAGAAGAGTATTGGCAGAGCCTTTTTTATCTCCCCAGCACAGCACAGGCTGGATTGCACAAGATAAAGGCCCGGATATAAGATGGCAAGACACAAGCAATGGCAAGTCCCTATGCAGACTTAACTGAACCACAAGGAGTGACCCCAGTTTAATGACAAATAACGAAAAAAAGCCCTTCTCCAAGGGAGGGGGGTGGGAAATTTTAAAGATAAATTGTTACAAACTGTGTATTCTTGTGCAAGCTGCCAGGATAATGCCCTGTGACAGTGTATTGAAATTTATATAGCAAGACAGTGTCTCAAAGTTCAACCAATAGGTACAGCTGTACTATGAACTAAAGAGATGCACGTGGCAAGCTTGTTAGCCATGAATGGGGCTAACAAATGTATGGGCCAATCTAGAAGAAGCTACGATATTTTGGGTCTTTCTGCAGGTACCAGAAAGCTTTGTATTGTTGGTCACTTGGGATTAGTCTTTATTTGGATTTGTTTTGTTTCCTGTCTTTAATTTCTTTTGTTTTAAGTAATTTGTGTTCCAGTACTCACAGAGGGAACCAATATTTTACTAGATTACATGACGAGATAGAAGCTAAAATACAGATATGAATAGTGTTTGTGCTAACTGCTAGAATAAGGGAATGTTCATTCATTCAGTATTGTACTATTGTTTATCCTACTAGATTGTGTGATGAATGAAAACAGCCTAGCCCTCAAGGGATGTCATGTTCAATTATCTATGTTGTACCGCCCAGTAAAAGTGATAATTGATTGCTCATTTTGGGGGATATGTCTGTGCACTTACTCATGTTATGGTCTCGAGAGACTTTTTAATATCATATTAATATATGAAGTTTATAAATTGTCATTTGAAACAAAAAAAAAATAATTAATTCAAACTGATTGATAAAACTTAGAACTAGCCAGAAATTCAAACCAGTTATTTACATGTACATCACTCATTCTTAATACACAATGCGTTATAATGTAAATATTAAAGATAAACTCCTCTTGCGTTGCATTAAACCCACAATTCTCAATAGTGATCGAGATGACTACTCATTTCTTGTTATAAATAATTCAGAACATGAGAAAATAATTTATTAGGAAGCAGAATGCAGCAGTATACTAGTAATAAACTGAAGAAACAATTCAAGAACAGCATACAAACCCAATTCTCACACAACAATAAAAGTTACATAAATATAGATAATCAAAAATGGCCAGGAGATTTGATTGTTTTGACTGTTTTTTTTTTTTGGAACTGGACTGAAAATCTGTTCATGAAAGCCAGATAGAAGTTACAGACACTTAATAGTGCGGACTGTGTTACCAGATTCAGGTCATCCCACTCCACATGCTTTCATCATTTGGTTTTATCCTAGCACTCTATTAATGTAGGACGTGTGAACCTGTCCAAGCTCACCATTGACTCTTTCTGTTGCTCAGTGGTTAGAACACCAGCTCAGGTTACCCATCTGGTAATTCTGGAGGGTCATGGGTTTAAAAGAGGGATTCATATTTTTTTCTTTTCTCACACTTGCAACGTGCTGAACATCATGCAAGTATATTTTTTGATATCTGGAATTATCAATGCTCATTAATAAGTTTATAATTCCTGGCTAATAAAAAAAAAATCACTTTATTTAGGTGTCGATGTATTTAGCACTAATGTGCTAATTGGGGACACTGTAAATAAATAAACAAATATTTCAAATATAACATAAACTATTAAGAATCCCAACTGGTGGGAGGCTGACCAGTTGGCTATTTACACAATGCGGTCGAGGAGTTGAACTAGGAGCTACCGAGAACAAATCCAAATAGCAGTAGGGTGGAGGATTTGAACCAGGGACCTCCAGATTTCAAATCCAGTGCCCTAAACCACTTGGCCACGCCGCCTCCCTCTAAATAGCTAGTAGCATGTATTAAGACAATTTATATAATTCTACATGTAGATATAAATTCAGTGTTACCAAAACAGGATGTAATGTTATTAAATCACAATGCCTATTTGACACATTTTTTAGTTGCTTTTTGTGTAAATGTTAACTGATAGAAAAGATGCCTTTAAGGTATCATGCTATCCCATTACAAAAAGTAATTAATCTCTAACATTTCATGATGGTTGGCAAATTTTACATACCCCATCCCGTGCAGCCTGCTGATGCCAGCCCATGAGCTGCTATATGGAGCAGAGACAACACTCTGGTCTGTGACTTTTCCGCAATAAATTTACGAAGGCCAGGGAAGGTTGTGGCTCCTAAGGCAAAAGATAAGAAAAGTGTAGATTATCTTAAAAGAAGCAGTTTCACATACACTTCAGCACATGTACAAGTCACTGTGGACATAAAGAATAGCAGTACTTTGTCTTATAGCATAAACTGAGTTATTTGCTTTTAGTTTTTTGTAACTCCTCTCTTTCCTGTGTAATGTAAATTTCAGTCAAACCTCTCTACAACAGCCACCTTGGGGACAAATGAGAGTGGCCGTTATGGGGAGGTAGGGGTGTAATATGACACCTGGTTTTTTAGTCCTGCCAGGCTATTACCAAAATTGCTTGCCAAACTCTGGTGTGCCACTTATTTAAGGCCAGTCAACTAACTTTTCAGCTCTCTGATTATTTGAAGCTTGTAATGCTTTTATTTTCTTATTAATAGCAAAAAATTAAGTGGTTGGTTTTGGTGGAGTCTTAATTCTATCAGAGCTCAATATCCTAATTCATTTCATGTAGGAGTGTGAACAACTCTTATTATTAAAAGCTGTTTTCAGAATTTATGAGGGAATCTCCATTTATGGGGGAATAGCGACAAGGTGGGTGTAGGGGGGGGGGGG